CCTGGCTTCATAGCCGCACGCAGCGAGGCCGGGCCGAGGTTGGGGCCGGCGGCCTCGGCGGCGCTTCCCGGGACTAGGGCCCCGCGCCCCTCCACTCTGGAATTCGCTCCCTGGGGAAAATGGGTGTCGTGGCCCGCCTGGGAGCACGCCGCTGCCGGCCACAGGTTAGAGGAGAGCCGGTGTGGTATTTGCCGGCTTCGGGGCGCAAAATGTAAAGCTGCCAGCTACCAGGTTCGCGACCGAACGACTTGGTCCAGCGTCTCCTCCAGTAGCCAAGATACGATTTGATAACAGCTTTGGGAGAAACCGAGAACGCCCTGTTTGTAGGTGTGTCCTTCATTCCAGAACTTGCAACACTTGCAGGGAGGATTTCCCGAGGCTGTTGACCTGCAGTGACCGGTCCTGGCCTGCGCAGGCCGTCCCGGGCTCAGGGACATGTACGCGTTCCCACTTGGAGACCCTTTTGTCTGCCCTCACTGTTCCTTTCCCTTTGTGTCCCGCCTCCAGCACATGGTCTTGCTGGTGACAGCCAAACTAATGACATGATGCGGCCTGGCAGTCATACCGTTCTGACTGGGAATGAACGGTGTTGCCCTTTTTTACAGCTCCCACATGAGCAAACTAAGTTGCTGAGTTTTCATCCGAAGCACTCCAGGCATGTCTAGTTATAGGACGATTCTGGCGTCCCAGTGGCCCCACCACACTGGGGCGCCAAGGCTCGGTGCTTCCTCCGCAGTTGGTATCCTTTTCATATACCGTCTCCAGGGATAGAGAGAGAGTCGGAGACAGCAATGATCGGCAGGGCAGTGCAGGGAGCCTGGGAGAGATTCTTACACACTATGCCTACCCAACCCCTACAGCCCCTTAAGTTCATTTTCCAGCCACTGATTAGAGAAGATTAAGCTTTGGGAAGGAGGACTAGGCTAGAAAAAAAATGCGAAATTGAACAATCAGACCTTGAAGGCAGGAAAAGATTTTAGAAATACAGGTTGTGACCAGTCTCGTACAGAATCTGGGTATTAATATTTTTCCAAAATCATGGGATTTTCAGAGTATTCCTTCCCATTTCTACCAACAGCCCTCTCTCTCTGGAAACATAAAATCTTACCAGAACTCTTAGCTTGTATGGATTAAATATTAATATAAAGCATATTTACTGCAGCAGCAATTATAAATACTGTCACTTTCTAAGCTAGTCTTACTCTTTTTCATATTGTTTACTGGCCTTGATTCTATCAAGATTTGGTTAAAAGAGGTACCTCTTTGGAGAGCCACAGATAGGAAGATGAGAAAAATACCTGCATTTATAAACAGGTGGTATACAGGTCTGCCTAGAGTCAAGCATGGTATTCTCTGCCTTACCCAGAAAAGAAGTTCAAGCCCTCATATTATTATACTATGTGGATTTTTGCCTCATTTTTCCATACACCATTCTGCATATTATCTCAAGTCAGGTGTCAATTTTTGATCCAGGTGTTTTTTTGGAGAAAAAATGGAAAGGTGTCTGCCCTATGCCCGACAGTTAGAAACAACTAACAGGGCATGGGTGCTCCCTGGGTGAGTTTACAATTGGACCTTGTCGCTGTTTCTGTATGTGAGGGAGGCAGCTTTCTCAAAGCTCATCTTCACTGAACAAAACTGTGCTTTCCAGGGGGTTTCTGGAGCTGTATGTGGGGACTGTTCTCTTGGAGGAGGAGGCCTTTTGTCTTTTGAAAATGGGGAAGGAAGGAAACGAAATAATGTAACTGAGTCACTGTCATAAGCAGCAATAGGAAAACTTAGAGGGGAAGGAAGGCCAGGGTAACACATTCTTGGAGTTTCTCCTGGTTCTAGCCACGTGTTAAGCTGTAGTTTGGCTTCTGAGGGAGGGAGGATGTGAAGTGGCTTCAAACCAGTTCCTTCAGCGTGATTCAGTGTAATAAGAACTCACCACCCCTTTAACAACATTTCTCTTTATTTTTTGAGTTGGAGTCTCGCGCTTGGCCCAGGCTGGAGTGCCGTGGCACACTCATGGCCACCACAGCCTCGACCTGCTGGGCTCCGGCGATCCTTCCGCCTCAGCCTTCCAAGTTTAGCTGTAATTTTAGGCGTGGGCCACCACACCTGGCTAATGTTTTATTGTAGAAATGAGGTCTCACCGAGTTGCCCAGGCTGGTCTCAAACCTGCAAGCTCAGGCAATCCTCTCACCTCTGCCTCCCAAAGTGCTGGAATTACAGGTGTGAGCCAACATGCCTGGCTACACTTCTTCTCAGCTCAGCATGTCTTGGTGACCTCTGAAGTCCCATCTGACCATTAGACAGGTTCTTTTCCGTAGACTCCAAGGCTTAGATTTTACTCATAATGATTTTTTTATTTCAAAAGATATGCTGTATGTTCCTCTCATTGCCCTTCATAAAAAAAGTAAACACACCGCATACCTCCACAGTCTTAAATACTGAATTATTACCTGTTTCTTCCCAGCCTTGCCCTAGGTCCCTCCATCCTTTTATAAGATCTTCTCCTTCATGGGAGTTGAGTGGCTGGTGTAGGTGGGAAGCAGATGCCCTTGTTTTGCTTTGTTCTTTGTGCCCACGGAAACTTTGGAGAATTCAGCTTAGCAACTAGGTTAAGACATTGTTATCTGTTGGTTTAGGATTCTACCCATCTTATCTAGTTTAGGATGGGTTAAGTCAATAAGAATGTGGAGAACTGAGTGTTAAATTTCCTTTTTCATTTGAAAGTGTAGTTTATGTTGCCAAGGAGAAGGAAATGGCATTCCGAATTTCTTGGTGACTTAAGCTTGAAACATGCTCAAAATTTATACAAGTATAACCTTAATCAAAGTTTAGATATTAGTCTTTTCCTAAGAGTCTGTAGTTGTAGAAATCTGCATTGTAGGGTGTCGGTTTTCTACCTGCTTGATCTGAAGTAAGAAGAAAAAGAGACTGCTAATGCAGAGACTGGTAAAACTGTTAAACTGATATTATTTTGTCAGGGTACAAATATTTGGTGTCCTGAAGGACAGGTTAGATCGGTAAAGTAGTTTCACAAAAGAGTTAATATACACTTGCTTCAAAGAAACCAAGTGTCAACTTTAATTTTAATATAAAAAGATGATAGAAACCTATTTCGGATTACATAATCTGCTTATTATTGCAGTCAGGCATTTGTTTGGGTTCAGGGCATATTGGAACATCCATTATTAGAGCTTAATGTCAGGTTCTATGCTAGAAAAAAATGTAGAAAAGGATTAAGAAGAAATAAAAACTTATTTCAACAAGCTACTTGACTTGAGTAACACAGATTTCTTAGCTAAAAAGGAGTCATGGCTCCATATTAAAGGAGGCAACACCCTAAAATTAATCTTTCTACATGTATATCACCTTGAGTTTCATATATTTGATGTAATTGACCTGTAAGCATAGGCTTTTCTGAAAGAAGATTAAAAAGCGTTCCTCAGTACAAAAGTTTAAAAGAAAATGTTATCACAAGTATTCATTTAAAGAATAAAGCCTGTTTTGATCCAGATATTGTGGCTTTTCATTCTACGTGATGTTGGTGATAACTTCCTTCAGTTGTGACCTTCTTTTCCTTTATTGCAGATGGGGCATCCTCTTCTCCCATCCTCGGGACTTTACCCCAGTATGCACCACAGAGCTTGGCAGAGCTGCAAAGCTGGCACCAGAATTTGCCAAGAGGAATGTTAAATTGATTGCCCTTTCAATAGACAGTGTTGAGGATCATCTTGCCTGGAGTAAGGTATAATATACCTATTGGCATGTACTTTGAACCTGAGGTTATAGAGTCGGTTATAAATTATAGAAAGTAGCTTAGTTTTTGAGATAAAAGTATAAGTGAGCCTCAGCTTCAGCGTTCACTGGCTATTTGAAAATCTGACTTGGACCATACAGTGATCTCCACATTGCTAAATCCAATGGCCAGTTCTCAGCCCTCGTCCTTCTTGGCACACCAGCAGCATTCAACCCAGTTGATCATTCTGTCTCTTGGGATGCTCTCCTCCCTTGGCTTCCAGGATGCTGCATCTCTGCTGTTCTTGTGCAGGTTCATGCTGATGCTCCACCTTCCAGGCGAAGTTGCCTTGAACTTGTTTCTTAGACCTATTCTCTTTTCTGTCTGCACTCTGTCCCTTGGTAAGCTCTTCCACTTACATCTTTAAATACTATCTAAGTATGTGATTCTCAGGTTATCTCTAAGCCAGACTCTCGTATCTGATGGCTGGTATAACCACTGTCTCCCCTGTGATGTCCAATCGTCTTAAACCTAGGATGTTCAAAACTGGGTCCTACTCTTAAATCCAGGTTTTACTTATCTCTACTAATGGCAACTGCATATCTGTAGTTGCTCATACCCAGACTCCAGGAGCCTTTCTTAAATCCCCTTGTTTTTTATCATGTCACATGTCTGATTTATCCTCGGACTTGTCAGTTCTACCTTCGGAATACGTCCAGAATCATGTTTGGAAGACACATTCCCCAGAGGTCTGTGTGACTTGCCCTTATCTCCTTTCGGTCTCAACTCAAATGGCACCTCATTAAAGCCTTCCTTGTCCTTTTCTAAAGTTACTGCTCCTTTTCACATTCACTAGCCTCTTCTCTTTAGCACTTGTCACTATCAAAAGTACTCTGTATAGGGTTGTTTGCTTCTTCCCAGTGCAGATGGTCTCAGCAGGAACAGAGACTCCTGTTCTGTGCACCGCTAAAACAGTGCTTGGTATTCAGTAATCCTAGGTGGTCAGTCAGTCTTTGTTAAATGAATTAATCAAAGAAATTATCTACTTTCAACAAAATGACTTCGTTGGACAAAAATTTGATGGACAGCCAGGTGTAGTGGCTCAAGCCTGTAATCTCAGCACTTTGGGAGGCCAAGGTGAGAGAATTGCCTGAGTCCAGGGGTTTGAGACCAGCCTGGGCAATATGATGAGACCTCGTCTCTATAATCAAATCAGAAAATTAGCCAGGCGTGGTAGTGCGCGCCTGTGTTTCTGGCTGCTTGGAAGGCTGAGGCAGAAAGTTTGCCAGAGCCCAGCAGGTCGTCTCTGGAGTGGCCATGAGCGTACCACTGCACTCCAGCCTGGGTGATGGAGTGAAATTCATTCGGGGAAAAAAAAAAATTGGTGGACTACACTTACCTTGAAACCATCTTAAGGACTTTGCTACAATGTGCAAAATGTTAATAACAACTACCCCTTAGGGGATGCTTACTGTGCACTAGACACTATGTCAAACATGTGCGCCTGAATAAAAGATGTGGTACTGATTTTTGAGTTGGTGACCTGGGGCTGCATCCCACAACCATTTTGTGCCAGTTAATCCTGCATATCTGAGGCTAGAAGACTCACTTAGGAGAAAAAGGAAAGGCAATTATCTTTCTTGAAGTAGATTTTTTTTCATTCTGTGAAAGGTAGCTGACTTTTCTGCAACACTTTTACAGGCAGTTTCTCATTAGATCATAACAGAGCCCTTTGAAGTCAGTCTATAGTTTTTGCTCTCATTTTTCATTTCCATTTTCTCATTTTTGTAGATGAGAATACTTTTTTCACTCAGAAAGTTGGAGAGACTTGCTCAAGATTGCCCCGTGGCAATGAAATTTGAACCTTAAGCCAGTGTTCTTTTTTTGGGGGGGGTGGATTGGAGTATCACTCTATTGCCCAGGCTGGAGTGCAGTGACACACTCATGGCCACCATAGCCTTGATCTGCTGGGATCAGGCGATCCTTCTGCCTCAGCCTTCCAAGTAACTGGAACTATAGGCATGCACCACCATGCCTGGTTAATTTTTTTATTTATTGTAGAGATAAGGTCTCACCAGGTTGCCCAGGCTGGTCTCGAACCTGTGGGTTCAGGCAGTCTTCTCGCCTCGGGCTCCCAAAATGCTGGGATTATAGGCATGAGCCACTATGCCTGGCTAGCCAATGTTTTTTTTTTTATGCTTGATGATGGAGAGTATCATTTAGCCTAGTATAGAACAGAATAAAGCCAAAGCAGGTGGTTGTTTAGTATTGATGGGTGTAACATAATGCCTGTTAGGCAAGTGGCTGGGTAGAGAATTAATGCATAGCACTAGCTAAAATGACAGACTGCTGAAGGAAGTGTTTATAGCCCATTGTATAATACCTGTTGAAGTATAGGAGCATACTCAGGTTCATTTTGCCTGGTGAACTTCTGCCTTAAAAGTTTTCAGAATAGTGATTACATTGAATAAGAAATAAGTCTCAAGTATCAAAAGCAGTACCCAAACTTTGACACTGGTTATATAGTAAACCCCAGGTTGCCTCTAGTATGAAACCATATTGGTTAATATTTAGTTGTGCTAACTTGATAGGCAGCCAGTGACAAGAGAAGGAAAGTTAAGTTAATAAAATTAAGGAATATGTTAGAATTTGTTGTTATACATTTCAAAGTTCATTAATGCCACTTTTATCTTGTCACATCTGTGCTGAAAAATCCATAGTTTCACTATCTGCTCTGCCATTAAGCCTCTGTTTTACTTTCAAGGCTTCACATAACAAACAGACCTTATTCCTACTTTTTAAACCCTCTTTTCCACTATTTCCTAACTCTACCCAGCTTAGTTCCTCACTCTCCTGTCAACAATTTATGCACAGACTTGCCCATGCTTCATTCATATTGTTCCTCCTCCCTGGGAATGCCTTCCTTTCCCTATGAGTCCTTGAAGGGCCCAGGTGGAAGTCCTTCCCCTTTTTGAAGCCTTTTGATTCAGCAGTCCCACAAATGAGGTTGTCTGTATATTTCGGCACCTTCTGAACTCAGCATTACAGCCTTGCATTTGCTGCTGCTTTATAGGAGAATCACCCAATCAAGTCAAAAGTTCTTTTGAAGGCAGAGCCACATCTCACCCATCTAGAGTCTACATGCACTTACTGTAATGCTTAGCCTACCGTAAGTGCTGTATTCAAGCTTGATCAAATAGCGAAGCTAGAATTGTTTTCCCCATGGATAGGAAAAGTAGATAAGAATGAATGAGTACATTTTACTAGGGAAGGAGGGGGAAGTACATCATTTTCCTTCAGTTCAGACTTGAAATGTTTTGTTTCCTATTTGAATTTCAACCCGAGTATAAGTTTACCTGTCTTTTTACCCATTTATCTTTGACTTGTCCTTGAAGTATATATTCAACTCTCCATTCTTGTGTTTGCTTTAAGTTATATCATTTTTTTTTTTTTTTAATTTTTCAATGTCTTGCAAGTTACAGATATAGTGAGGGTTCTTTTGAGGCAGGGATCAGAGCTATTTTTTCTTTACACATGACATTGTTTCTAGATGTGATGGACTTAATGAACCCATTGTTTTTGGTGGTTTTTACAGTATTTGGGTACCTAGAGGTACCTTCTGTTGGGATCTAACTATATTACTCAGAACTTAAAGGGTTTACTGCTGCTTTCTGAAAGCAGTAGAAGCATGCTGAATTTAAAATAGCTAGACATAAAAAAGGATTTGGGTCCATGGTTATAACCTAAGTACTATACCCACTGTTATTCCTCTCAACAATTGGGATGAGAGTGTTTATTAATTCATTTTCTTATTAAAATTGCTTAGAGACTATTATTATGACTGTGATTCTCTTCCCTAACTTGCAAGGCGATGGCTGCTAACTGATAAAATTCAGAGGATATGTTGGGTTTAAATTTCTCTTTCACCTGCATTTCAGGATATCAATGCTTACAATGGTAATGAGCCCACAGAAAAGTTACCTTTTCCCATCATCGATGATAAGGATCGGGACCTTGCCATCCTGCTTGGCATGCTGGACCCAGCAGAGAAGGATGAAAAGGGCATGCCTGTGACAGCTCGGGTGGTAAGTCATGGAAATCCATAGTTAGCACAACTGGTCAGGCAGTATATTTCCTTGTAGGTCTTGGAGCAACCAGGGGAAATAGGAGCATATCTACAATTTTAAACTGCTTAATTCATAGCTCTGGGAAATCTACGAAAAAATAAGTCGTTTATCTTAAGATGTCATCTAGAATTGAGACACTTTTTTTTTTTTTTTTTTGAGTTGGAGTCTCACTCTGTCGCCCAGGCTAGAGGATAGTGGCACTCTCACGGCCACCCCAGCATTGTTGACCTACTGGACTCCAGTGATCCTTCTGCCTCAGCCTTCCAAGTAGCCAGAACTACAAGCGTGTGCTACCACACCCGGCTAATTTTTTTTTATTTATTGTAGAGACAAGGTCTCGCCAAATTGCCTGGGCTGGTCTCGAACCTGTGGGCTCAGGCAATACATTCACCTTGGCCTCCCAAAGGGCTGGAATTACAAGCTGAGCCACTGAGCTCGGCCCTGAGATACCTTTTCTATAGCTCTCCTGACATTTCTCTCTTTAAAGTGGTGGGTCATATCCTCCACAGGACAGCTCTGTTTTTAAATTCTCATTTGTTCTGTCCTCTTCCTACTAGAGAACAGATCTAGCCCCTCATTTGCATAAATATACTATTATTCAAGGACCAGTATTAAACCAATAATATTGATATTTTACCTTCCTGGGGCCTTTCCTAGGACCTCCAGAACCAAATAAAATTCCCTTCTAAGTTTAGAAAAATACCATGAAGAAGAAAATTGTCTATATTCCAGCCACCTAGATCCACATTTGGTGTGTCCTTCTAGACTCTGTGTTTTGGTTTTGGTTTTGGTTTGATGCCTTTGAACACTTCTAATGACTGCAGAGCTTTCTGAGAGGCTTTAATATCAAAAGCACTCAAAGAGCTCTTCCTGTTTATGTCTTTGTGTGTTTGGCAGGTGTTTATTTTTGGTCCTGATAAGAAACTGAAGCTGTCTATCCTCTACCCGGCTACCACTGGCAGGAACTTTGATGAGATTCTCAGGGTAGTCATTTCTCTCCAGCTGACGGCGGAAAAGAGAGTTGCCACCCCAGTTGATTGGAAGGTAAAAATTTGATTCAAAAAAGCAGTTCTCAACTTGCCTGGAAGGCCTGAAGGCCAGTCTCTAAGTGGCTGCCTTCAGGTGTGTGTTACCTGTTTTCAACACCTATGTACACTGAGAGGGTTTTTCCTCATGGCTGAGTTTAAGATTTGTTGAGAGGCCCTTTTTTAAGGTCTTTAATACATTTTATATAAAACACAAACTCCTTATATTGCTTTCTAACTTTCAGATACTTTAGACAAATTAATTGGTCAGAATTACATATTTTCCTAATGTAAGGTTTAACCAACAACAACAAAACATTTATCCAACTCTTCTTTGATAAAATAATAGTATCGTAAAACCTTGAGTGGCCATTTTTCTTAAGTCATGGTTATAAAACTATTAGTGTATTAATGTCATGAGGCATTTATTTCTTATAGGCTTCAGCCTTTTAAGCCTATGTAGAATTCTCTGAAACTTGTTCATAAACTTTTAATCTCTAGAATTTCTGCAAATATATAGGACATGGATAATGTCATGAGAGAGTATCTTAACATTGCTACATTTTTTAAATGTCTTAACCTAAATACCAGGTTTTGTTTTGTTGTTGTTGTTTCTCTGACAGACAAATCATTTCAATTCAGTCACCATTGACTAATTTTTTAAAACATATGTATTGATCCCAGGCACTGGGTAGATAGCAGTGGACGACGTAAAGTCTTTGCCCTCATAGAGCTTCCATTCCAGTGGGCAGAGACAGTGAACAGTGTGTGGTTTATTCTGTGGTGAGGACACAGGTGCTGCGGGGCAGAATCAAGCACAGGTGGGGAAAACAGGCACACAGGGCTGGGGGCGATTGTTGAAGAAAGCTTTTCTCTGAAGGGACCTTTGGGAGGACATGAAGCAGCGTGTGGCCATGGAAGAGCAATGCAGGCGGAGGAGTAGTTAGTGCATGGGGCTTGACTGCAAGTGAGCATGGTGTTTTGGAGGAATAGAAGGAAGGCCAGTGAGCCAGGAAAAGAAGCGCAGGAGGGAGGGTGAGGGACCTGAGATGAGGGGCGGCAGGATTCAACCCCGTGCGGCCTGCAGGTCACAAAGCACACTTAACACTAACAGGCAAAGCACAGCTGCAAACCACTACTGGGTTTTACATGGGACTTTCTCTTGTTTAGATGGGAAAATGCTTCACATAAGTGTCAAAGATCAATTAGAAAACAAAATTCCTCAGGGGAGAGAGTGAAGAATGCTTGGTTAGTCTCAGCACCTGCAGCTATTTTTCTGAAGTTAATTCTTGAAGACCTTTAAGCTTCACTGTGAGATTGAATTTCACCACTCTCAATGTCTTTCAATAGGACGGAGATAGTGTGATGGTTCTTCCAACCATCCCTGAAGAGGAAGCCAAAAAACTTTTCCCTAAAGGAGTCTTCACCAAAGAGCTCCCATCTGGCAAGAAATACCTCCGCTACACTCCCCAGCCTTGAGTCTCTGAGAAGTGGGTTCTGTGAGCCAGAGGATGTCCTATGCCAATGTTTTCCTACAGCAATGCCATAAAAATATCCTGGTGTCATCACAGCCAAGGTCTCTAAATTGCTCTACTACTGGCTTATTAAATGAAAATGGCACTAAAAATTGTGGGGGTTTCTGTCTCTGACTTCACCAGCACTCTTGTGTGCCTGTGTCAGCACTCTCTGCTGCAGTCTCTGACTCTGCATATGGGACTCTGTCTTGCTGGATCTCCACAGGGCTTGTAACCAGTGAGGTTGATGGTTGCTTTGCTCCAGCGTAGTATGACTGTCAGTTTTGTTAGCTGTTCTAATTGAATCCTCTCTTCTGTTGAACCTCAAGTTGAACTTGAAGTTCAACCTCCTCTGTAAATATCCAAGTGTATAACCCAGGAGCTTAGGGTAACCCTGATGTTCTTTAATATTCAGAGTTTTGATCACAGCTGGAGAAAAAAGCTTTTTAATTCTGTACTTTTCTAGTAGATAAGTGGGAAGAGCAAGGGATTGGAACCTTTACATATGTTGCTATAAAAAAAATTGCAGTGAATTTTTATCAAAAGAGGGAGGCTGCAGAAAGGCTCCTCTTGGCTGCTTGGGGGGGTGAATGTGGAGGTGTGAGTAACAGGACAAGTGCCATGTGCCATGTGCACTTCACTCGGTGTTCCATGTGGGAGTTTGCTCTCTGATGAAGCACACGTGGCAGGGCACACTTTGTGAGGAGGAGAGATGATCAAAGCATTTTATTATTAAAACTATTCTTGCAGTGGGTTGCTGTTTTCTGGAGCTTGCTTTTTAGGGATCATCAAATAAAATCCTTTATTAAAACTGGATCAGAGAATTCTGTTGTCACATTTTTTAATACCAGTTTAGAATCCTGTCCTGAAGGACAGAGGATTCCTTCTTGCTGTGATTGGCATGAGTCCTTTTCTCCAAAGGCAGATCTGAGTAAGAGTTCACACAGTGAAGATGAAGGGACAACTGGAGAACGTGTGATTTTACCATATGTCTTAGCCTGCTTTTCAGCTTCATGCCACTTACTTGGACCCTAGAGTCCCTGATTTTTTGGTCCCTGGGTTAAAGAGCTCTCCTAACTAATGCCTTAATGGGATTGCTGGGCTTAAGCACATGAACGTTGAATATGATGGTACATCTGTGCTTTTGCTACTGAGAACCAGTGGTCTCAGACTTTTATTGTACTAATAAGTCCTAGGTTTAGAAAGAGGTGTCCCATTTATGAAATCTTAGTCGGGTTGGGCTTGCTATGGCCAAAATACCATAGACTGGGTGGCGGTGGCTTAAACAACAAACATTTATTTTTCACAGTTCTCGAGACTGGGGAGTCCAAGATCAAGGCACTGGTACATCCTGTGTCTGGTGGCCTGTTTCCTGACTTGTCAGCTGTTTTCTCTTTGTGTTCTCACATGGCCGAGAGAATATCTCTTGTGTCTCTTTTTACAAGGTCACTAATACTGTTCATGAGGCTCTACCCTCATGGCCTAATTACTTTCCAAAGGCCCACATCCAGATACCATCACATGGGGAATTAGTGTTCAACATATGACTTCTGGGGAGACACATTCAGTCCATAGTACCTGGTACGGTCCTTGCATGAAATCCTCTGTATTTGCATAATGTATGTAAATAACGCAAAACATGAACCCTAATGCAATGTTAGACAAGTCATTAAGCCTTTATTTCTATACATGTAAAATCTGAGTGACACAAGGTTGAGGATATTGGTGAAAATTCCAATATTCTGGGCATTGCTGGTCTGAAAGAGACTTCACAGGGCTGGCTTCCTGCCCTCACTCTTCCCTAATTCAGTATTTTTGCCCTTAAAGAACTAATACTGCTAGGCATGGTGGTATGCACCTATAGTCCTAGCTATGCAGGAGGCTGAGGCTAGAGGATCCCTTGAGCCTTGAATCCAGTCTGGCAACATAGCAAGACCCTGTCTCTAAAATAAACAAATAAAAGAGAATTAATACTATTGTCCTCTTGTGTCTTCTGACTAGCCCTGCTCCCCTGACTCCTCCGTTTCCCTAGCTGTCAACCTCCCCACTCTTCACTTCGATATTTGCCTCCTTTTGTCCTTGTCTCTTATGGACAGTATGGCTTCAACTTTTTTGTTGTGACAGTTAAAGTTTAAACCTCCAACATTAATTACTCAAAATTGAGTCTTATGTTTACAGCTGGATGGAACATCTGCCAGTTAATTTGCAAATTCAAACTGAATTCATCAACTCTTTCCCCAACCTCAGTAAATCTTGTCCTCCCTCACCATTCACTTAGCCTTGGTGTTTTGTTTGGCTGGTCCCTATCCTACCTGCATGGATAATGTTAGTATAAAAATGCTGAGGGAACTCAAAAGGAGTCATGTTGAGAGCCAGCCTTGGAGGCCCGCCTGACGACAAAGTCCAGGTGCGCTGAGGACCTCCGGCCGCAAAGCGAGTGGGCAGCTGAGGCCCTTCTGTCTTCCTTCTTTGCTGTTGATACAGCTGAAGAAATTCTGTGCAGTCGTGGAAGAAGAAGATGGCATGTTTATGCGAGGAATCACAGCTAACCTGGAAATGTCATGGTTTATTTTTCCATTTTTCCCACTATGCCACTTGGCCTTTTCTAATATATGCAAGGGTTAAACTCTGAAGCACATCAAGAATCCTTTCTTTCACTTGGTTATAAGTTACTAGATATTGCTTAAGTAATAAATGATGTAAGTATATCCACTCCTTATTTGATTTAGATTATGCAGTTTAGTGTT